GATGGATATCTTATCCATCATCCACCTCCTTTGCCACACCTTTCCTCATTGCTCTGCGCAAGTAGGAGGCATTTCTGACAGCTGACCTTCGACACGTCCAAGCCAAAGCTAAAGGCGGAGGAACCGAACGGCCACCCACAACGAGTGTGCCAAGCCAAAACTGGAGAAGCGATTGGTTGTCTCCTGTTCTCGTGCACCGTGCCCCCACGTGAGATCACCGTCGGGGGGAGAAGTCCATGATTCTCCTTCGACACCGCCTCCCATTTCACAATCGATTCGTCCAACTTTTCCTGCGTGGCTTTGAGGAACTGTATCTCCTTCTTCAACTTGCGTTCCGTGTCTTTCACCTCCGCTAGTGCCTTGGTGTCCTGCTCTGACATGGTGGAAATGGCCAAAACCTTCGTGCCGTTCCCGTCGCCGATCTCGGAGCCACCATCGCCATGGGGTTTGGGCCTCACTGGCATCGTCTCCAAGGCTTCTTCGGCGTATTGCAAGATCACGTTGGATTTCCATCTACCCAGGTACGCGACTTGCGGCACTTGCCAACCCTTTCTAATGTACTGCAATGCCCCGGATCTTCTCCCCGAATGACCCGAAATGCTTTTCCCAAAGCACTTCCGCCAGGCGCTAATGAGCTGGTCTTTCGACACTTCACCTTCGCCGTCGCCGCAAACCAGTTTGTCTGTTTCCACGGGAACTGTTTCGAGGGTGGCCTTGGTGATTTTGTATGGGCACGGTCTCTGCCAGTTGCATTCTCCCCTGCACGAGCATTGCAGTGTCCTCTTCAATCCCTTTGCCTCCTGATCACCCTTGGTGATGCGTAGAGTCAATGCCACCAATAATTCTCAATCACGATGTCTTCCTTGTAGATCGCCGCTAATTCGACTTCTCTCAACATCCAAGTGGTGGCAAAGGCAAACAACAAGGCGGGGTAGTGGACTGCGCCCCTCTGCACTTCGTTCAGCTCCGCTTTGCATGCCGTGAACCATCTGTCCTCCTCTACCTCCTTGGCTTTCTTTGGCGGCCCCTTTGCCCTGTTCAGAGCTCTCGTCGCCTGGGTGTAGGCCCTCTGTAGTTGCTGTGACCAGTACACGCCCGTCTCGATCGCCATGATCTTGTATTCAGACAAGTAGGTCACCCCTGCCTTGTACTCTGAAGACTTGAGTACTGCCCCTACCTGTTCCAACGTCTCTGGCGTCCAGCACTCATTGGATCCCTTCACGCCCAGGTTGAGCAAGATCTTGTCCACCGTCTTCCTTACCGATGCTCTTGCCCTCCTCGATGAGTTTGCATAATAGTCTTTCTTGAAGTTCACTAGAGTCCTGTTGTTCTTCGGCCCGCCTGACCTGAACATCTTTGCCGTTCGAATGGCTTTCAACCACTTCTGATTTCCTCTCAACTTTGGGTTCTTCGCTGGTTGCTGCGGGATGTCAGGCCTCCTGTGGCCCTTGGGCATAGTCTCTCTAGTCCCTTCATGCCGAAGCTGGATTTTTCCTCGCTCTTCTTCCTTCTTCTGACGCTTTCTGGCGCTGGCTTCTCCCGCTTCCTCCATGTTCCCGTTTCGCCGGCGCTTCACCAAATGCACCAGCGCGTTGACCTCCGCGTCCTCCTTCTCAGTCTTTCCGACCGGAGGCGAAGGTGGGAACTCAAAGATTTCGGCTTTCCCTTCTCCCTCCTTCACCGTCTCGTTGACCTCCTCCTCGTCATCCCAAGTCTTCATCTCCCATAGGTCTGATTGGCCCCCCTTCGTCTCCTCCAACATCACAGTTGCCAACTGTCTTTCGAATTGAGCCTCCTCGTAACCAGCCATAACATATCTCTCGTAGCCACTACCCTCTCCCTCAGCGGTGGTGAGCTCGTCCCCGGTGTGTCCAATTCCGTTGATGGCGCCGACGTCAACCCCTCCGTGCCTCTTGTCTCCCTCGGTGAGAAGTGGTCCACCATTGCTCTCCAAGGTGCCGGTTCCGAAGGTGAGGCCTGGGGGTGCCTCCTTCTGATCCCTCTTTCCGGAGTCCATTCCAACGGGTTGTAGGGGTAGATGTCCTCGTTGTCCCTCTGGTCCATGTCCCACGGCTCTTCCCATCGTTCTTCCTCCGATGGTTGGTGTTCTTCCCATAGGTCTTCTTCTGAAGGTTGAGGTGTCTTCTCCGCCCCTTTCTTTGCCTTTGTGGATGTCCGCGGAGAATTGAGGGAGAGCAGGCAGCGAGCCAACCGTGTGCAACCGAGCCATGCTACCGCGAGGTGGGTCAGCGCGCCAGTGACGACGAGGTAGAAAAGCCAGAAGCGAAGCCATGGCCACGCGTAAGCGTACCCATACACCTCCGGTGGCGAGGTTTCCACGGCCGTCGTCAACTCCATCTTGAGCCCCGGCTACGAAGGGTACCTGACACCGTAACGATTCGAACGAAACCGAAATGCCTACAGTACCTACCAGGTTCCACATTGTGGCCTCCCGGCAAGCTCCCCCTGCCCCTTTTCAAATCGACCCTCACGGTCGCAGACTCCAGGCCGCCGTCAAGGCTGTGTCATCCTGCCATTCGGCGGAGTCCGGACCTGGTGGATGAAGGCTGTACCATTCGACCGTCCGCTCCACTGGCGTTTCGATCGTGATGCCCTCCAGTGCTGCCGGCAAGGTAGTGCTGCTCCATGTGTCCGGCCGGGACAAAAAGTCGGCCTCCTTGTTCACTGTTCCCGGTAGGTGCACCGGTTTCAGCTCGGCCAAACCCAGCGCCTCGCACGCCACCGCCATCAGCCCCCAGATAGTTGAGGGCTGACCCGCTGTTGGAGAACTTTTGGGTCATGGCCAGGGCTGTGATCGAGTCCGACTGGACGGATATGGCCAGGTTGACCGCTGTCAGCAGTCGTCCCCAGTGTCGTAGTGCTGCCAGGATCGCCAGAGTTTCCACAATGCCCTGTGAGCTCGATTGTCCGAGTTCGAACCCTAGCAGCTTTGCGTCTAGCTCGCCCACTGGGGATGCCATCGCTTTGGTAACCCGGCCGTTCACCAACAGAATTGCCCCTAGTCCTTGAGGTGAGGCGTCCGTCAGCAAAGTCAGGTCGGCCTTGCCTCCCTTGTACAGGTTAAACTTCCGAATTGGTTTGCCCTGCGCCGCCTTGATGTACGCCAGCAGCCACGCCCTCGCCTTCTCCAGCCTCTTCACGGGTATGAGATGGTCCTTAGGGCGGTTGTCCTTCCGTAGTTCCCGTCTGATGGCCTCCGTCCCCTGTGCCACGTCCTCCTCATGGTCGTAGAGGGTGGCATAAAAGGTTGATGTCACCCACCTTGCTCTTGGTAGTATGCCCGCCAACCATGCCACCCGCCCCGCTGCCTTGCGGAGTTCCGAAGCTGCAATCATGCCTTTCTTATCCCATGCTTCCAACTGCTTCCTCAACTCTGCCATGAATTTCTCCGGCAACGTCAGCAACAGGTGATCGTAGTCCGGTGCCACCAGCTTGAAATTCACTCCCACCCACGTCACTGACGCCGCCCGGGCTCCTTTTGCAAGGGACAGCTTCAGGCCCAGGGCTGCCATCGTGGTTAAGATGCAAGCCAACATCTTGTTGCGCACCGGTAGGCGTCCGCACAGCGCCCACAAGCTGTCATCCAAGTACACCTGGTGCATGCCGTGTTCCGGTGGAATTATTGACTGGACCAGCCTCGCTACCATCGCTGCCACCCTGCTCCACGTCAGAGGTGCGGTCTTGAAGCCAAAGAGTAAGGCAACGAACAGTAGCCAGTGATCGTCGTCCAGGGCTGGTGCTAGGCAATGTCCCTTCTCCTCCTCCTTGACCGCCAGATGCATATACGCGTCAGATATGTCGATCATGACCAGTTCCATAGCCCGGTCCTGCTGTGCTCCTTGGTCTGCATGCAATGCGTGCATCTTCCTCAACATCGCCACTGCGTCCATGGGCCTCGGGAGAATGATGCGCTCCGGCAGCTCTGCCTTTTTGTTACCTCCTGACCTCTTCAGGTCAATGATGATGCGCCTCTTCTTCGACCCGTCCTCCTTGTCCTTCACGATGAGTCCCAGCCGGCTTATCGTCGTGCCCTTGAAACCGGCCTTCTCCACTTCCTTCTTCCTCACCTTCACCGCATAGCCCAGCTTGCAGAGTCTGCCCACCTCGATCTCCGCGTCCTCCGCCTGTTCCTGCACCGAGGTGTAGTTCCCGATGTCCTCCCTCAACCCTTCGGCCGCCTGTATGTCCCCCAGCGTAGACTTTTCCTCCGGCTTGGTTGAAGGCGGGAAGATGCCACACGTCCTAATGGGACAGTTTATCCCCAAAGGAACTCCATCCCTGATCCAGCGGTGAACCTCCGTCTCCGGGTCGCCGCCCCTCCTTCCCCAAGCCTCGAATAGGTTGCCCTCCAGCGGAGAGGTGAACGACCACTTGCCCTTCAACCTCAAGGTGCCCCCTCCTCGAGCACCTGTGAGCTTCCTCAATTCCTCCTTCCACCTTTCGATCATCCTCCCTTCGAGGCTGCAGTCTGGTGTGCCGTAGCTTTCCCCTACCTTCACCGCCATGGGGTACTTGTTGCAATGCCTGTCCCAAGCGCCCAAGATCTGTCTTCCCAAGTTCTGTAGTGTTGGAAGTCCTTCAACCACCTCCGTCGGGTTCTTCAGCCCCCCGATGAAGACCTGCTGCCCCAGGTCCTGTTCCTTCTTCTTGTCCTCCTTCAGCAAGCCGTACTTGCCTTCCCCTGGCCTCCACCTCAGGTCCTGTCTGTCGTTCTTCTCTCCTGGACCCTTCGTGGTGTGCCCTTTTCTCCTGCCCCTTGACCGAGACCTCACTTCCCTCCCGACTCCACTGCCTCTCGCCTGCCCTTCGTCGTCGCCTTGAGAGCCATGAGCCGCCTCCTTCTTCATCTCTTCCCTCCTCTTCGCTTGCAGACGAGCCCTTTCTTCCTCCTCCTCTCTCTGCCATTTCCTCTTCCTCTCTCTCACTTCGAGTGCGTCCTTGACCGGTGAGGGCGATGTCTTTATGCCCTGTCTCCTCCTCACGTCTCTTGCCTGCGAGGCCTCGGCGTTGCTTGTCGCGATGTCATCGTGGTCTTGTTCACCTTCCTTCAACCTCCCCTCCAAGTACTCAGCCGTTGCCATCTTCTCGAAGTGCTGCATGAGGAGGTGTGCATAGGCGTTGCAAAGCTCCCACGGGTATTCGCCCGACTCCTTCGACTCCTTCTTCCCCACGATCGGCCGGTGAGAGGCACTGCCGCACTTGCACTCCCTGTCGAGTGACTCGATCCCGTACAGCGACCCTGCGAACTGCTGGGGTTTCCAATGGCGGTCACCTCGGCTCCTGCTCGATTGATATGCACAGGTGTTGAACAGGGAAATCTTCACGCCCGGTAGACGGAGGTATTGCACCATCTCCTTCATGCCCCAGGCCGACAGGTGTCCCTCCACCTCCGAAGGCGGCGGGTTTTCCAAACTCGTAGGCTTCACCACTATTGACGTCGTCGGTGACCTCATGACCTCCTCCGCCAACTGCGTCGATCGAGCCAGCATCACCGTCCCTCTATCGCACTCCCTCTGCTGGGCCTCGTTGTTCGAAGCCTTCCCGTATGGTTCAGCTCGAGTGCGGACGGGTCCGGGTAGGCCAGCTGCTTCTCTAAACCTCAGGCGCGAAAACGTCGAGCAGGGAAAGCCGGCGTGAAACCCATCAATCAGGCCTTCACGGGCCCAACGTAGATGGGTGTTGTATGGTTCATCCGCACAAAGGTCCTGGCCCCAATCTCGCTCAGCGGAGATCACCTCGACGTTCAAGCCCTTCTTCTTGGCTATCCGATGGATCTCAGCCCCCAGTGGATCTCTTGGACCTGCAAAGTGGTGGAGGAAGCGAAATCTGCGCTGTTTGATGTACTTCGCAATCTTCTCGTCCAGGGCCTTCTGGTTCTCTTCATTCTTTGGGTGCTCCTTCTCTTGGTCCTGCTTCTTCTCCTCACCGCCTTCGTCGCCTCCTTCGTGTCCGCCTTGTCGAGATCCTTCACCAGTGCTCTTCACTTCTTGCCCTGACATCGATGCGCCGGATGACCTGGCGACCCGCATGATGAGCACTTGTGGATCCGCTTGATCATGTTTGCGCACTCGGCCCCAGCTGGCAGCGACCCACACGGTGAGTTCCCGTTGTTCCAGGAGAAGCAAATAGCATCCGCTTGCTTCCCGCCACTTCCCTTTTTCCCTTTTCCTTTTCCTCCCGACCTTCGCTCGCCGCTGCCTTCGTGCCGTGCATCTCGAAGTCGTTGAAGCTCTTCGCGTTCTGCCTGCCACTTTCTCTTCTTCGCTTCCTTTCTTTCCCGGTTCACCTGCCTCCTGGTAGATGAGGTAGCCTTCGAAGAACTCTGGTTGAATGCTCCCGACTCCATTGATGGCAAGAGTGCATCCGCTCCTCCTCGAACTGTTCCTTGTGCGATGGTCTCCTGAGGGGTTTGCACTCTTCCTTTTGAGCCTGAAGCCAACCACGTCAGAGCCGGGCCATGTACCTGGTCCTGCCAAAATTTCAGTTCACCGGGGACCATTTTGAAGATTGCTTCCCATGGCTTTTTCTCTTCGAAGGCGAATGGGGCCGTCTTTCCTCCCTTCATGTCCATGTTGATCTTTAACTTCAACCTCGATAGAAGTTCGCCCCGCGCCATCTCGTCCGCTGCATACACCAAGTGCCAAGCCTCTGGGTACGCTCTGGTCAACTTCTCCACGAACAGCTCGTAGGCATGCAACGGTGCCAGGGTGCACTCCTCCAACATCAGCATGGCCGTCGTGAAGACCCGATAGCAAGCCCTCCACTGGGTGAAGTTCGCCGGACCCGGAAGCTCCTTCGCGACATAGCCATCTGCCGTCGGGATCCAGGTCTTGTATTTCGAAGCTCGTAGTGCCTTCCTGCCGAACGGGACGAACACGCCAAAGTCGCAGTACGGGGGTTTTCCCAAGCTCAGCTTCTTCTTCAGTGCTGACAACTGCTCTATCGTAGGCTCCTCCTCCTCTTCGGGCAAGGCTCCCGTCATCATGACATACTTCTGGAGGAGTATCATCTTGGCCTCCTCGTTGAGTACCTCGAATTCTCCATCGTCCCCTTGGTCGAGGACCTGGGTAAATTTCAGTGTTCTTTCCTTCGTTTCCTTCACAAACTCCCCGGTTGCTGCTGATGCCCTTGCCGACGAACTCCTCGGTGGTGAAGTAGGGGAGTCGCTCCATGGGTCTTCCTCTGACCAGTCCTCCCAGGTGCCACCCCCCTTCACAAACATCATCCTCCTCGCCAGCTTCCACACGAGTCCCACCTGGGCGGCCTGAACCGCTGTCAAAGGGGTGCCGTCGTCGAAAGTCGCTTGGGCCAGCGAGGCCGCGACCACATTGCCCGGAAGGGCAGCCAAGAGCCGAAGGTCGTCGTTCGGATCGCCAGCCTCGCGAACAAATGCCGTCCACAAAGCGTCGGCCACCTGGAAATGCTCCAAGATGGCCGACACCGACGACATCGCCGCAGCCGCCATGGCTGAGGGGAACATCCCCCCCCAGCAAGCCGCCCGCGAGGAGCGCGACCCACCACATGACCCTCAAACAAAGGGTCAGGGCTTGAGCCAAAATGGCATACTCAAGCCCTGACCCCACCCAGACCTACCTAAGTTGTCCATCAGAAAACTCCTTCGTCTTTTTCTTGCACGAAAACTCCCGGGGTTTCCAGTGATTATAAAGAGGACCACGCTGGTACCGTTTTTTGCCTCTTGTGTCTCCAACACCCTTCAGGGCTGCTAAAAGCCCTGTGATCGGCCCTAGAAGCATTTTGCAGAGCCCTGTAGCTCAACTTTCAGCTGCAAATGCCGAACTTCCCCCCGGCACGTCAAGCAAAGCATCCCGCGAAGCTGGGAACGGTCCAAGAAGGCCGTGCGATCCACGTCTCAATAAGGCACGGTCCAAGAAGACGAAGAAAACGGATGCTCTTCCAAGCCCTCTGATACATACGTCCCCTACGTCCAACTTCAACTCCAGGGCCTCTGGGCTTTTATGGGCCAACACTCCCTACTTCAATTCATGGCCATGGCCGGGAACGGATGCATCTTACAGTCTGTCGCAAGTGGTGGAGTCAAAGCTACCTCACTACGGCCTATCATTCAACAGCACTCTGACCAAACCCCGAACCAGCCCACGTCCTCAGGTTAGGTAGGACGAACCCCCCCTGGCACCAACCGCAACCACCGAACCTGAGGATGTGGGACAGGAGCCCTATAGGGAATGAAACAACACATGAAACGAAGAACAACTCCAAAAACTCCAAACCTCGGGCTTGATGGCAAGGACGGGATGGTTGCAAAGCCTCAGCACGCGGCGAACGCGCTCGCCATGCTCGCGCTCGCCCCGAAGAACAACATATATAGAACAATGAGGCAAAATAATGACCAATGTCTTCCTCACTAGTCAGTGAGCTCTTTATCCAACACTATGGGTTCTCCTGTATGGTCAGAACCCCGCAGTTCTAGTACGTGACCTGGTCTAAGAGTCTAAAGGGACCTTTGTGATGGAATCTCACAGGCCGTGTTTCTCCTGCTTGCAACATCTTGCATGGCGTCTTCATCCATTGGCCGATCGGAAAGCAATAACATCACATAATCAGAATAGCTGCCCAAATCCTGAAACGACGACGTCAGCACCTCCTCCTGATGACGCCTATGTCACCACCTCAAAACCGTTCAGCCTATGAGATCTCTGAGTCTTCAAACCGCCCTGGCTCCCTGGACCACGGTGCACAGTGCCCCTTTTGGTCAAGCCCAAAACCCATATAGCATTCCAACCACCATACTTGCCGAAAGGAATTGACCAATGAATGTTTAACGCTACAAACATCAGGTCAACCTTTCTTTACACTAGTTTCAGAGGTTCGATGGCACTGGCACCCCAAGATGTCTTAGACAGATGGGGGTCCATATATGCACCACCGCACCACCTGGGGGGCCCTTGTCTCATTGAACCTCTGTCATAGTCCGCCCCCAGGGAACCGTTTCAGCAGGGCAATGGCACGGAAGACCTCGACACCCAACTTGCTCTTGCCTGGCGGACGCGGACGTGCTCGTCTTGGCCGCAAAAATGGGCGCCACCCATTCCGAAGCATATGCCTATAGCATATAGGGCTGATGACATAGGAATTCGCTGGGCTAATGAGATAGGGTTTCCAGGCCACAGTGTTTAGGTCATCAGTCAGTAGACGAGGTTGCCAAGTGTAGTACACAGCAGGATGACATAGGAGCTGTGGTCGCTCGGCCAGTACATGACAAGAAATACTTGAACAAATACCGAATATGGCTGCTTTAAGCTTCATGACTTAGGCGCGCTCCCCTCATTTTTCCCACAGCCTGAGCTATGTCATGTTTGAGTCTGGGAGGAGTGCCCAAATGCCTTTCATGTTCGTTGGCATGAAAGGCAGCTTGTGAGGGCCAACGAACCCATTCCACCCTCGTTTCCATCCAAAGCCGTTCCAAAGGAGGTTCGTGCATCACTGTGGAGGATCGGTCTCTTCTCCTCACCGGAATTGGGTGATCGACAGGCACCATCAGGCCTTCCGAAAACGAAACGTTTCGCGGTTTTTTAAAAACGTGTTAAAAAGACTCTGAACTTCAAGGAAAGAAAGGAAACGAAGGAACTAAACCAGCAAAACATCTAGCACTTACAAATTAAATAGGTTCTTTTGTTCAGGGCGAAAGCCTATGTCATGACCTGATGAGAATAGGAGCTGTGGCATCGGCGCCCAAGGCCCAACGCTCCGGGCACAGCCACCGGGAAGATGCACCGAGATGATCAGATGAGATAGGAGCTGTGGCGCCTATGGCACAGTCACCAGGGGAAGATGCATAGGAGCTGTGGCATAGGCGCCCAACGCTCCCGTCGGCTGTTTGGTGCATCTCATCAGGTCATCTCGGTGCATCTTCCCCGTGGCTGGGCCCCGAGGTCAGCCCGACGGGAGCGTTGGGTCATTGGGTGCCTATGCCACAGCTCCTATCTCATCAGGTCATGACATAGGCTGTCGTCCTGAATAAAAAAACACCGTTAATTCTAATTTTTAGATATTTTGCTGCAGGTCTATTCCTTGATATCCTTTCTCTCCTTCACATTAAGAGCCCTTTCAAACATTGAAAACATACAAAATTCAAAAAAAAGTAATTTGTAACTTTTAGAGACTTTGCTATCTTTGCTAGTCCAATTCCTACATTTCCTTTCTTTCCTGGGCACTCATGACATAGGTCCTCGCCCTGGAAATTGTACAGGTGCTTTCCTATCTCATCTCCTAGTTGTCACACGCTATGTTAGTGGATGTTGGTGGCATACTCCTAGGTCATGTATGGTGTAATGCCAAAAACCCTCCTCAAACCATGCAATCTCAAACGTTTATGTGTGAACATCATTGTGAGTGCCAGGCCCATGTATGTTTTGACCTGATAAAATCGGAGCTGTGGCGTATAAAGGCTATTGCAGGATGACATAGGATCATTTTTTCCCACCATACTTCGATTCCCAAACTGAAGGGTACCACCAAGCGGTGTGCATCAGCTGTTTGTCTTGGTTGGTACTCTATGAGACACATGGCTTTAGTAACAAGAGCACTCATGGAGAGCGACGTCGTTGACGAGGTGTGTGAGTTGACGACTTGGAGGTGGATAGGTTGATCGGACCGGACCTACCTTTTCTGACTCGACTTGCAAAGAATGAGATAATGTAATGGATCCTAAGGCATCGAATCTACAAGAAGTCATTGCCTTTCTTCTCCACTTATAAGCACCAGGAAGTTCTGATAGACCATCAGTTGACTTCTTCACCTTCACTGACTAGTCATGTTCCTACTGATCACCCAAGAGTCACCTAACGATCAACAGCTTTCATCCCTGGCAACACTCGTCCGGTACGGCCCCGAGACTAGGCATGCAGGTCCAAGCAAGACCGGCCGGCGGCGCAATTGGCTTCGTGGATGATGTCGCTGGTCTCCAAGGCTTTCTGATAGGTGCGGACTTGATCTCTGGATGGGGTGAGCCACACCACGAACCTTGGATCGACTAGCCGGGTGACTAGGTCACTATCGCTCAAAACTCACATGCTTATCGACATTACTGTAGTTTTAGGAACTAGTACCAAAGTTTGTGATTCCATTCGCATCATTTATGAGCACATGATGCCCGGACACACCCCATGACCCTATGGGCACTTCAGAGCGAAGGACATCTTGGGAACTGTTGCGATAGAATGCACGTATCATGCCCTTGCTGAGGCCACTTGACTGATGCTAAGGAACCGGGACAAATATAAACATATTCCCAAGGTTTGGGGATTCACCCATAAGGGAAACCTGGAACCCCAAACAACCAGAAAGAAATGGATGTGTCCCCAAACAACCATTTCCTATGTAAAGGATTTCAATTGCCATATTGGAACAACCATTTTTGGTTGTTTGGGGTTCCAGAAATAACAAATCATCCTAAGCTTCACCATGTGAATGTAATGCTGATGTATCTTTCTCTGCATCTGTGGAAGCTTCTTCTTCCTGCACCCTGCATCTCCTGCCTGGACCCACAACCTACAGTAATCCTGGAATTCCTAGTTGGCACTTGAACGGGCTTGCACTTCTCAGCTTCCCAGGCTCATAGCTTGAGGGATCCTTTTGAGGTCAACTAGAAGATCAACCGCGGAATGGCTCGCTGTTGCGCTGGTTCGCTGGTGAAACCCTGGTGCACTGAGGCCTTCACAACAAGTCGAAACTCGGCCGATCAAGAGAATCATAAGGAAGCTAACCTCTCCCAGGACCCCCTGGAAGTGACAGGGCTGTCCATTGATGGTCCCTTAGAGGTTAAGGCGTGTCCAATCACATGATCCACGTCTGTGGGGGTCCTGGTCACCTCCTCATACCCTTCGACCGGCACCAAGTAGCTCCATGCGAGGAGACAGCGGCCTGGGACGCGCCAGTTTGGCGCGTCAGGGGGACCAGGCATTGACCCCTCAAGCCAAGGCAACTGGTCGGCACATCTGACATACATGGAGTGTCCGGGCTATAAAGCTGGTCACCAGCGGTTCCAAAGACTGAACGATGGCCCCCTGCTTCCTGGACTGAACGACTGCCTGGGACCTGCGGTAAGAGTCTGATGGCACCTGGTCAGGCAAGGAGGCGTGGGTGCTCAGAGTCGCCAAAGTTCTCAAAAACGATGTGGGGCTCAAAGACCCCCAAAGAGATAGAACAGTAGATCCAATGTATTTGGAAGCCGTTTCGATCTATTTGGCTCTTCTCAGCCAGTCCGTCTCTTTTCGTCCTATGACTTCTAAGCTGGGCTGGGCGGCTAGGCCTCCACGCTTCCCGAGGATCGCCTCGGAGCTCTCGGCCTGCAGGTGCTCCTTGGTCCTCCGAAGCAGGTGGGGCTTCGCCAGGGTCCAGAGCTGCTCCTCAGCTGAGAGACCGACGAGTCCGCTACAGGCCAGAGGCTCGAGTCCGAGGAGGAGCGGATCTCTGGAATTGATCATCTGGACAGAAGCTGCCCTATACCATGGGCGGGTCAGTAGCGCCCTTCGCGTGTGGTGTGCCATGGATTCAACCCCTCAAGGGCTACGCTAAGGTGCAAGAAAGGCTCTTCAGATCTTGTGACATTGAACAGGCCATTCCGCCGTACATTTGCGAGTGCGGATGAGATGGAATCACATGCGTCCTCCGGTGTGAGGTCCAATCCCAACCGTCAGGACAGGTTCGGCCCGGCCCCCCGTGAGGTCCCTTTCAGTCAAGATGAATTGCAACTGTCCACGCCGCCACACAGTACTTCCTTAAGTTGCTCCGCAAAAGAAGCCACGCCACGCAGTACTTGCTCAAGTCGCATGTCAACAAACAAAACACCCCATGAGTTCTGCTTTCGCACATTCCCTACGATCTGCATAACACAGCCGCACCCATGAGTGCGGCTGCAAAACCACTGGCTTATTCATCTTGTCTTATTCGACATGCTCCTTGCAAGCGGCCTGCTCCTGAACACCAAACACTAACACTCTTGCAAAATCGGCTTGGCCTGGCCACTTTGGCAGCTAGCCAGCCGGACACTTCAACGCCTCCACAACTTCCTTCATGCCATCTGAGTCTCACATCCCCATTGGGTAAACATGCGAATTTAAAAAGTATTGGCCTATCTGGGACCTGCAGCCGAACAGGTTCCCTTCAACATCCTTCAACACCAAACTAGGAAGGGACCCCCAGCCAGCGTAGTTCAGCCTCTGGTTTTCTTCCCCTTTCGAAGCCTACAGATCCGCCCCCCACCCCCGCAGTGCAATGCATCGCCGCCGCGCCACACAGAGGCGCTTCTTCAAGGCGACCGCCGAAGGCGACGCATCGCGCAAGCTGCCTTTCCTCGAGTCACGCCAGGTCAGCGTTTTGTTTCACACGTCGGGGTTAGCATGGAAAGTCACGGGAGGTAGCAGCGTTGGTATGGTGTGAACCAAAGGGACAACAATCATTATGTAAGAACATGTAAAAACCGAGTCGCTTGTTTGGACGGATTTTGTTCCTTCCGGATTCCGGTTCTCAAAAAACATGTTTGTTTTCCTTTTTTGTGTCGGTGGCATCGACCATCAAGTACCACTTATGGTCTCGTGGCATCCACCAAAAAGGACTGTCGTTGCTATAGTGTGTGCAACAGCTGGCCTCAAAAGGACTGTAGTTGCCTGTGAAAAAGCTGGCTGTGAAATGAACCTGCTCAGCTCTCGGGGGAGTCACCCTCACACCCGAGGATCCAGGATCCACGGCTGAAGCATCAAAAACAGTGGCCTCACCTGCTGGAGGCCGCCTAAGTGGGGTGGTCCAAAGGGGCTTCTGCCTTCTCTGGGGGAATGGAGGCGAACAACAATAAAGGGTTGAAGAGTCAGAGCCGACCCCCTCAGTTCCGTTGTTGCCCATGTTTCTACATATACATGTTAGGGGAAACAACCCCGAGGAAAGCTCAAAGGTTGCCCATATTTGGGTGGTTGCCCCTCCGTCATCATGTTTGGAGGGAAGCTGGCTGCTAACTGGATCTGGTCCAAGTTTTAATACGTTTCTCATTCAGTCTTAGTCTTAGCTCTTTCCAAGACCCCCAGCTCGAGGGCCCCCGCTCGATTGGGTCATTGAAGCGCTTGGTGAAGGTCGCGTGGTTGCCCAGAAGTCCTGCGATCGCAGGGCTCGGTGTTTTTGTTCATCCAGACCTACGATCTTGGCCAGCGATCTTGCCGCACTTGGGTCTTCCAAACAAAGCCCAAACACTCTACATTGACCTCTAATGTATGTAAATAAGCTGCACATAGAGTGTTTGGAAAATACTCGTCCTGAAATAATATGAAATAACAATATGGAGGCTCCTAGCCTTGGATGACCATTTTCCGCTACAAGCAGGGAGTGAACTGAACTCCGCTTCCATTATATATAATATTGACTCGCAGTATATATAGGTCTCCGATGTTCTTGTCTTTCCGATCCATGATGACATCTTCAAGTATCTTCAAGTGCTTCAGAAGCGATCAAATCAAGAAGCATGTCAGATTTAGTGGGCATACAATACGACGGCAATGCAAGGCCATTCAATCCGACCTTAAGCTATATATCTTGCGACAAAGCCGTGCTTGGCACTTCACAACTGTTGACCAAATCTGCGACAAAGCTCTCGTGATGGAATTTCTGAGTGGTTTAACATGTCCAAAACGCTGCCCCAGCCGCTGATGATTATCAAACAAATCCGTAGTGCCAAGTCTGAGTAAGTCGCTGCTAGTGGTGGTGATGCCAGGGCCGTTTGAGTTTGGTCCACATGGGATGGCTCATACCGTACGGAAAGACATAATTAATGTAGTCCCTTGATTAATCAACCCCCCCCCCCGCCCCCCCCCCCCCTCAACAACCAGGGCCTCCAATATAATCTACAAGAAAACCAATCAAAGGACCAAAATGAAATGAATCATTATTAAAATCTTCTTGGCATTCTCTGGCAATATTAAATTAAAAGGGAATCAATGAAATCTCAAATTTGGAATACTAAAGTAAAAGGAAATCAATAAAGTGGAAATGGAATTCTCAATATTTTAATGGAAATCTAAATCCAAAGACCTCCAAAAGCATCAAATCTCAATGGAAATCTCCAAATTTTAAAAAGAAATCTCCATCCAAAAGCCTCCAAAAGCATCAA